TTTTGGGGGATAGCCCCTGTTACATTTTTTCCGTGTGTAGACAATGAAGACAAAAAGCTATGGTGGGTTCCTATTGGTGGAAGCGGGTGGTGGCAATGGACAAAAGAGGTAAATAATAGACTATAACTAACGGCAACCGACAAGAGACTCGACAGTTAGTCAATCATTTCCCCCCTTAGTCTATAAGAGCCACCTGTTTCAACCAGTAGAATCGCTCCATACTCCCTATGTCATCTTTGTCTATTGCTTTGTCCATCAATTTCAATAATCAGTCCGCTGACAAGAGATGAGAAGTAAGGTTTGAAAGAGGCTCTACGCGATAATATGAAGAGTGCTAAAAGGGGCCCTAAAATCCGATAATATGAGACATTTCGAAGCCCTTCAGGGCTAAGTTTAGGGGGCGATCGCCCCCTAACCCTCCGAGCCAGTCTGCTGGAAACTTTTGATCTGTGTGTATTAACGTGCTCACTTGCACACTGATAGAAACGTTCTAGTCGTGATCTAAAACTTGACCATAATCGGCCTGTTGCAAACTCCAGCCAGGGTGAAGAGAAGAGTCGTTGCTCACAGAAATTGGCCGTATGGGAATAAGCGCTGCTAAACAAGAATTGTGATAGGTACTCATGAAGGGTAACTCACAGCAGCTCTCCTTGATTATCAATTCGTGAAATTGCCGTACCTGACATCATAGTTTTTAATTCAGTTCTCCGATCCATAATCTTGATTGACCCAACACTGATCTAGCAGATCAGTGCTTGGAAGTTGACATCAGTGTTCAGGTCATTTCGAAAAACAACTGCCACGATCTGAGCACTTGCCATTTTTACCAGGGATACATATCACACGGAGGTAATAAACCTTGCAATCTCATGATTTGGACCCTCTTCAATGTTCTTTCATCATTGGACAATTCAAATATTAAAAAAAGCGTGAGAAATGCAGATCGCAATCGGGTGAGAATTGCATTCTATCCAATAACTGGGATACCAGGTATACCTGCGATACCTTCCAGTTGTCCAAGTTAGTTCAACCTCACACAACAGACCATTTAAACGCCTCGACCGGTTAACTCCTAGGCTTTTTAATGATTACTGAATTGACCCAATTGATCGAGTCTCATAGGCCAAATGTGAATTGGATCAAATATTTCCGAATCAATTGACGCTATGACCCACTAAATTACCTGCCGGCACGGGTTTGAAAATGATCCACGAATTTGAGTTTTAAACACCCTCGGATTCTAATGAAATATTTTCCGATTATTTAAGGTTTTCAATGTTGGTGTCTCGTAGGGTTCATACTAATTGTTTGGCAACAATGTCTTGAATAGTCTCTAGAACAGCGGATAAACGCCCATTCACCTATTTTGACGCGACAAAGATTTGTCCGAAAGTTGTGCAAATCCAGCCCCGTTGATCGCACGAATCAGGGCGTGAATTATGGCCACGGAGCCTGGAATTTGTCGAGCAGCATTAATCATGATTTAAAGTACATTTTTCGGTCCAGGGGAGACGATAAAAATAGATCCTGCCGGTATCATTTTCACTCAAGTAACCCTTTTATTAAATTACTCTTGCCATTTCATAGTCGCTCGGTTTTACGGCTTTCTTCACTTTCCGCAACGAAAAAGTTCGATATTTTTATGGTGCGTTCATGCGGTCGTTAGAACGCGTTGCTTTTATTTAAAAAACAACTGTGGTAAAAAAAAAAAAAAAAAAAAAAAAAAAAAAAAAAAAAAAAAAAAAAACTATGAAAAATAACAACGAAGAAGAAGGAGAAATAAAATGTTGAGTAAATTTCATAGGTAGTTATACTGTTTCAGTAATGCCGAGTTTAATTATTTCATATTCCTGGTGGTTTCTACATCAAGATAAAAGTACGGATTGATGTTCCTTTGACAATGGTACTATATAGGAAGTATATAATTACCCTGGTAAAAATTGGCAGTAGAATCTGTGTTCCAAAATACCATAGACCTACGGCCGGCTGTGAGATTTCCAATAGCTTCTATAGTCGGCTACACAATTTCTTATACCCTTTTATAACCGATGGCGATTAAGCAACTCACAGTCAGGCGATAAAGTGTATGCTAAACGTCACTAATTACGGATGCTAGGACTTAGTGAGTTTTTGGACCACTGCTCTCTTTTTAGGCCGTAGTATCTTGATTTATTTTGCGAGGAAAGCTTCGCACTTTTGATGGATGCCTGCCATTCCTAATATATTAGAGCGCCTTCAGTTTCGTATGATACTGTGCAATACCTCTGGTGTGAAATAGTTGCTTCAAGCACCGTGGCACGCTGCGGTGCGGCAGGCGCGCAGCCAGCGCGGAACGCGCATTGGCGCCTACAAACCTAACAGGGATACTTCACGCGTTGCGCAATGCGTGAAGTATCCCTGTTAGGTTTGTAGGCGTCAGTGCGTCGCCGCTCCGCTTTGTTAGGCTCAAATATTTAATCTGGCGGAGTCAGCGTTATTCAACTCTTGATTTTGAAATGTTTGCACACTCTGTATGGATTATTCTCGTTTTAATTGATGAAAAAAATTGTGTATTAAAGGAAAATATAACGTGTGTTTTGTAAATATTAAGGTGGCTCCGTATCAAACTTAATGATTTCCAAAGCACACGAATTTCTACACAATTTCTGATAGCCTTTAATAATCTATGGCGAAAAAGCAACAGCCAGGTGCTGAAGTGTAAAGCCCGGCGATAGGAACTATAGCCCGGCTGCATACTTTTTTATCGCTTCGTATAGCCCGGCCGTATGATTTTCTCCGCATTCTACAGCCAGCTATATGATTTTCTGTAGCCTTCCTCAGCCGGCTATTAGAATTCCTATGGTATTTTGAAACGCAGCTCTTATCGCCAATTTTTACCAGGGTATTGATAGGACCAAAAAAGAAAAGGAAATAGAAAAGCGGAGAAAGCTTCTTTTTGCATCTCTCAAGCTACTTTTTTTCTGAAGAACGCTACGTTTGGTTTTTTCCGATAGATTTTATGAATTCACCGTCGCAGTACGCTTTTTTTAGCATTTTCCATTTTTTGTGATAGATCTTGAATTTTTGATCCTTTCTTCGCTGTGTTTTTCCTTATCAGTATATAGCATGTCTTCTGCATGACTTTGTTTGAAAGGTGGATGAGAATGTAAACATACATGTTCTTTAATATCAGACAATTTTGGTCTTACCTCGTGTAAGTTATTCCTATTGCTTGTTTTGAAGTCGTGACTAAACTTTTAAGTTTTCTGCTTGATTCCTCTATTACCCTTATTATTAATAATAAATCCACGAACGATTGCAAAATTGGAGCGCCTTTAATTTTTAATTTGCCTTGCCTCGGCATTCTCGTGAAAATAAATGGGGGTGTGTTCGTGATAGTCATGACCAGATCTTTGCCGGATCTTGATCCTCATTTTGGGACTCAAAGTCAGATCAGGATTCGATCATGATAAGGCTCAGATTTATTTGTCAAGAGGGTATCAATCAAACTGAGGGATAAATCTTTGAGAGATCTACATGAATAGATCTCTCCATTAAGTTGCTCTAAGGGGTGGATCGATGGTTGTTCCTCAAAACTTTCTACTTTTAGAAGTAGCCCGAATGGTTTGCATTTACACCAAAAGAAACCAAAGAAAGCTTTTGACTCTAAATCAAAAGATTTTGACCTCGTGTAAATACTTCCTTAAAAAGTTATCAGCTTTTCTTGGGAATGGTTTCTCCCATACATAAATTGAACGATTGGTTGAATTGTGATCTACGACTTCGTTACTGCGTGCTTATGAAATTTATTCTCCTGAAAGTGGCACATATTATCATTATCCCTGAAAACTTTTTGTAACTCTACCTCATTATTTATTGAAGTAACTCTTTGAAAATATAACGAAATAAATCTTAAATTTTAAAAAATTACGACTTAAGAGGAAATCCTAAAACCCTCCAATTAGATGACTATTTATATGATTTCTCTCTCCATTTGAGACTCTGGAAAGGAAGGTTAGAGGAACGACTACGATCAAACTCTAGTAGCAGTGACTGTTAAAAAGCACTTTTCTAAAACTCCTCAAAATATTGTGAACAGTTACGGAGAAGGAAACCTTTTTCGTCGTTTTTTTCAGTAAAATTCAATTTAAAAGAGAATTTAATGAGCAAATAAATGAGGTACTCTTTATTCGTGTTGAATCTTTTGGCACCCTGAAAATAAACTAGGGGAGTGAATGTCGTAACTACGGGCTATGCAGCACCACCATCCGTTGGGGGCTTAGAGACTTGGAGTTCTGGGCGCTGGAGCCGTATCTACAACTGCTCCGGGTGCAGAGGCCGGAAGAACGAATGCTTTAGCCCTGACTTTTGGCCTCTAAGTCCCCAACTGACGCACAGTGAATCGAGTCAATTAGAATGGTCGGACATGAAGTTTTTGACTGAAACTGTGAATTTTGATGTTTATTCCGTCACATTTTAAATTTTGAAGGGTGCTTCTAGAAGTCAATTTCACGAGGAAAGCAATGAAACCACCTTCAGAACCTCAAAGTTTTATATACACTGGTAAAAAAAACCTCTTGGTTCAAGAATGCAGTTTCTTGTCGCCAGATTTAAGAGTCTGGACTCTTGTTTCAATGCAAAATCCGCTTGAATCAATGCAAAATCCGCTTGAAACAAGAGTTCAAGACTCTTAAATCCGGCGACAAGAAACTGCACTCTTAAGTCAATGCAATGCGGCATTGGTCCAAGAGGTTTTTTTTTTACCGCAGTGTATACGGAGTTATAAGCGATTAAAGTTTCCAAATTTTGTCCGACCTCCCCCATTGACTTGATCCACTGTGTGGCAGTAGTGCTGTCCAGACCGCAAGAACGACTTCCATCCCCGCAGTTTTATCTCAGTGATATGTTCAAGTAAAAAAATATCCAAAAAGAGTTTCCCGCGGCAAATTGAATAGTTTTTTGGCCTTTCTAAAATTTACATAATTTTTAAAAACTTTTTAACAGTCGTTGTGACCAGGGACCCCTTAGTCTGTATATTTCCCAGCTGTGTTTAACGTGGCACAATCCTGGTGTCAGGATCGGAGCCCGGGCCTTTGAAATGAGCATGATGCCGGGGATCCCGGGCGTGGTTTTCAGAGCCGTTTCCCAAGTTGCGAGTTGAAGGCGGAAAATGAGCCTAAACAGCGGCGTTCACCGCAGTACGTGGACAGACTTTTGACTCGGCGGAGTCCGCGCACCGTCTCCGACCCGGGCCTCGCGCCCGCGCCCCTCGCGGCGACCACCCTCTCGGGGCCCACCGTCGCCGCCAAAATGCTCGACGACAAGAAGTTCCCGCACCAGTGCTGCCCTCTCTACGGCGCCCTCGACACCTCGCTCATCCCGTGGCCGGGCCTCAAGTTCGCCTGCGTCCGGATTTTGGAGTTGTACGGCAAGGTCTTCGACCAGATCCAACTTTGCGAGCTTATCATTAGGTAATTTCAAACCTCGCCTCGAATTCAAAGTTGGAACGGGGTTCCTAGAGGGGCCAGGCCACCTCTAGTTCAGCCCATGTTTCTATCGTCTCATTTAAACAGCCTTCCCAAAAGTTGCCCCTTTTTGGGGACCCCAATCACTAACAAGGTAAATACAGAAGAACAGAGAGGGCAAAAGAGTAGATATTCAAATGACTCGACCGGATTCAACTTTACAAGCTTATCATTAGGTAATTTCAACCCTCGCCTAGAGTTCGAACCAGGAATCTAACCTGCAAAAGGGTTCCTAGGGGGCCAGGCGCCCTTTGGCCACCGCTAGATACGCCCATGTTGCTATCATCTCATCTAAAGAGCCTTTCAAAAGTTGCTCCTTTTTTGGGAACCCAATGAATCAACAAGGTAAATAGGGAGGAAAACGAAGGGCAAGAGATCGCATAATCAAGTGTGCTCGAGGAAGGGGGAGGTGCAGAAATGCACCCTATCTTGGGGAATCCTCCAGGGTTTGATGGGAATATCCTGCTTTCAAAGGAGGATCCAGGCACTTCTTCGGGGAAATTTTGCAAAAGTGAGTCGTCTTAATTTTGAGTGTCCTTGCCAAAAACTTGGATGAAATTTCAATTTTAAAAGTTTTGTATATGTCAATATAGTTTTTGGGGAGGTCAAGTAATTTCCTAGGGGGGCCGAACCCCCTTCGACCACCCCTAACTACGCCCATGTTTCTAACATCTCATCTAAAGAGCCTTCCCAAAATTTGTCCGTCTTCAGGAAACCCAAAATGAATCAACACGGTTATATAGGAGAAAATCACTGATTGCTATACCATACCGGGTACCACGCACGGAGCGTTTGTTTGGTTGTCCCTAAGTCTAGCGACATTTTTTCTGTGCCGCGCCACACTTAATTATTTATTTTGGTACGGCAAAAGTTATTGCATTTTTCTCTTTGTGCCGTTAAAAACACTGTTAATCAGAGAAAATCAGCATTTCTCCAAGTCAGCAATCTGCGATATATATAGTTTAAATGGTCGGGATAAAAATGAATATAAAATGAATGTAAGATGACATTTATAAAGTGAGAAAAAAATCAGATCCAAGCGAGTTATTTTATTAGATTTTGTCTAGAATACCCAAAGTAATTAATAGATGAAAATGTTGCTTTCTTCTTGAATGTTCAGAACAAGTGAAGTGAGGTACATCGATTTGTAATTTTTTTAGCCACGCCGACGCGTTGACGACCTAATTACTCTGGCTTTTCTTTTCCCTCTCAGTTATTACCTTAAAGAGCAGGAACTCCGACATCTCATAAGAAAGAGTGATTTAATCTCGTATAAAAGTGAAATGTCACATCCCTCTTTCTCCCATAATGCGCTCTCGTAGCCTCACAGTCATGCTCCAGTTAATGTCTTCATTGATGTCGAGGGAAGAATTAAAGTTCACACGGGTCATGGGGCGTACCAACGAGGGTAAAAGACGACCCGATAACAGAAATACGGGCTGAAGAGTTTACTAAGTATACCGTAGTTATTTTACTTTACCCGGTGAAGCTAAAAGGAGTATGAAGAGTGGCTGAGACAATTTATATGGAATTGATCCAGCCTTTGAAATTTTAATAAATAATTGATGTTAGGATTGTATCGTATCTAATCCTCGTTTTCCCAAGTAAGTTCCAGCGCACAGTGGATCGAGTCAATTAGAGAGGTCGGACATGAAATTTTTGACTAAAATTTAAAATTTTGATGTTCATTTCGTCACATTTTAAATTTCAAGGAAAGTTGATAGCAGAAAATTTCACGAGGAAACCGATGTAACTACGTTCAGAACCTCAAAGTTTTAGAGCTTTTAAAGTTTCTAAATTTTTTCTGGTCTCACCTATTGACTCGATCCACTGTGCGGTGTGCGGCGTCCAGTCTCGTGAATTAAAATAGAGGCAAAAATACAACAATATACCAGTGGCGTGGCGTGGCGCGCTTTCCGATTTATCGATTGATCGGTCATTTAAACCTATGGAAAAGGATCGATAGAAAGGGTGTTCGTAGCGAACACCTTAATAATCGATTCTTTACCATAGCTTCAAATGGAGAAATATCGATAATCGATCATTCACGCCATGCCACTGCAATATACCTGTCCCCTCTCAACTCTTACGTTCTACGTTCAAGGGTCATGATTACAGTTGAGAAAATATTTGTGAAATAACGTAGGTTAGCGTCATGTACAATCTGTAAGTCAAATCTTTTTGAAAATTTATTTTCCCCTCTGATGTATTCGGAATAAGATGAATGGAACCCAAACCAAATGATCAAGAATTTTAATTTCATGATAACCTGCAACTGTCTTTACAACCTTGAATGTTGATCTGTTTCAGGAAAACGTGTAACTCGTGCAAGTGCCCGCGAGAGTCACACAATGTGTACCACGAGGAGTGGGTCAACGTGAGGGAGAGGATTGGATTCAAAACGCCCGCCAATGGGGACAGACTACCCTCGAAGGAGCTCTGTTTGAATGAAGGATACTCCTGGGTCCCTCCCGGATTACCTAGTAATAAAGTAAGTAAGATATTGTCACGGATGATCCGCATACTATTGTGCCAAGGAAGAACGCCGTATGAACATTCGAGAGTTGCCGAATTTCCTTTTATAAAATGTTTATTTTTGAGGAAATTTATAGATTTTTCCCCTTGAAATTTTCAGGAGCTATCGGTGAAATTGCGAACAAAATAATCTGAAAAATTGGATGAAACAGATTAATAAGTTTACCAGGAAATTTGTGTTTCATAAAAGGAAATTTGGCAACGCCTGAAGATTTATACGGCGTTTTTCCTTAGCACAGCAGCATAGCGAACTATGTTAAAGTTAGATTTACATGTTTTATCTATTCACGCTAGGACAAAGAGGAACCAACTTCTACGGAAGAGGCGCATAAAAGCAATTTTTGAAAATATTGAGGTAATAATGATTCCAAGTAAAACTAGTCTCAATTGGACTGCGTTTAACAGAAAGGAACCAAGCCACATCAGCTATTGTCAAATTTAACTGCGCGATTAAATTTTTTACGAGAGAACGTTTGTGTGAATTCCTTTGAAAATTTGAAGGAAACTGCCTCGCACTGTGGAGAAAATCCACTGAAATTTGCACGAAAATCCGCACAACCGTTTTCACGTAAAAAATGAAATTGTCCAATTAAATTTGGCAATAGCTGATGTGGCTTGGTTCATTTCTGTTTAACGCGGTCCAATTCATGCTCTGTATAAAATTCGCTCCCAAATTCCAATTTTCATTATCAAACGACGATTTAACAGTTGAAACATGGAAGATAGATATTAGCAATAGCCGACGGCCGCGGCAGGCGGCAGGGCACACTGTCGATCATGCAAGCGCCTTCAATTTGGACGGGATACAATTTCGCGACGACAGTGCTGTAATAGTTCCGTACCCGACGATAGGTCGGGCGTTTCAATGCATCACACATTGTGAGTCAAACATCGTGAATGATTCTCGATTCTGAGTTCTGCAGAACAACATCTCTTATCAATTTTTAAGGATGTTTCAAATTAAAACAATTATCCGTTCTTTTATTTTCCCTTTCTTATATCTCATCAAGTCGTGGTATTGAAGCAGGTTAAAATATTGTCTGGCGTAAATATTGGAGTTGTCGCGTGTTATGAAGAGGACTTTGGTTTGAGTTACTTGCAGTTATCACGAACTTTTATTTTCTCGGCATCATGATGTAAAGTAAAAAATGATAAGTATGAAAAGAAGAAGTAATACCTGAGAAGAAACTTCTGTACTTTAATTTTTGTTCTTTATCATTTCTTTCTACAAACAAATAATTGACGGAATTGAAAAATTTATGCACTCCAATTCACATTTTTGGAATTTTGATAAAAACAAATCTTCAGAGTGAAGAAGAAATGTAATTATTAAAACCATGTGATTACGTAGCTCATTCACTGGAAAAAAACACATTGTATCTACAGTCCAGACTCTTGAAAACATTGACAAGTAAAAGGACTTTAGATTCAATCAGATTTAAGCTTAAATCAAAAGGAAATCCGTTCAAATTAAGAGGCTTGGCTCTTGATTTAAGCTTAAATCTGATTGAATCAAGATAATTTTTTCTTGTCGATGTTTTTAAGAGTCTGGACTCTAGATCCAACGTGTTTTTTTCCCCAGTGTAGCTCATTCGATCAAGTTTTAATAACATGTCTAATTCATCATTCACTCTGTGGCTTTTTACGCAGATAAAGCAGTATTTTGATTGTTTTCCCGAGCACCAAGTACCATGCCTGGGGACGCCCGGCGACAAGTACAGGGACAAGCAGTTGGTGCTCCAGCTACCGAAGCAGGACCTGGCCCTTACATATTGTCGACATGTGGAAAGGGAGCATCAGCAGAGCTTCGAGGACTTCATCAACGCTCGGAATGAAATCGCCCTCGATATCGGTTACGCCGTCCTAGTCAAACACACCACGGTACGTCATCAAGGATATCTTAGAAGACAAACTGGACGTATCTCTGCTAAATAGACAATAATCACAATTCAAAACAGCGGGTAATGAGGCTACTTTTGACATAAATAAAACCAAAACGTTTCGGCTGAAAACTCAGCCATCCTCAGTTGGATAAAATCAGCAACAATTTTTAAAAATCTAAAATTGTAGTACTTGGCTGTACCTTTCAAAGCGAGAAAAATGTTGTTATACCAGAAATTTTGGAAATTTTTGGTGTTGTTAAAAATTTCTTTCATAACAACATTTTCCTCGCTTTGAAATGTACAGGCAAGTACTAAGTTTTTAAATTTTTGAAATTTCTTACTGTTTATCCAACCGAGGAAGGCTGAGTTCTCAGCCGAAACGTTTTGGTGGTATTTATGTGAAAAATAGCCTTGTTACCCGCTGTTTAAAATTGTTATTTTAGTATATCTTGTCACGGGCTAAAGAGCATCAAACATCTCATTTCTGCTAAATGAAATGAGAGACAGGTGGGAAAGAAGGGGTGTACTCGTTAGTCGAGGGGCGTAAGAATGGATAAGAATTATAGAACGCCAGTGACGTCAGCGGCAGCAAAGCCCCCCCCCACGCTCCTCCTCGTCCGCTTCAACTCATGAGTCTTGTCCACGATGCTCTTTTGCCATGCCCAAGGCTCATGAGTGCTACATTCAGTTGGCGCTTAGTTCCCTTTGGTGGAACGTAAAATCCCGCTTTTCCAAGTCTCCGAAGGGAATCGCACGCCCACTTATACATTGTTTCTTGTCCAGCTTTCTAGAGCACATCCCATCCCTCTCACTCGTCTATAGTTATCCGTTTAACAGAAATACACCCAATTGCAATTGGACGTCTTTGTGAGAAAAAAAGAAGTCTATGCACATCGGAGGATATCAGGAAAAACATATCCGTTCAAGGGGTAGATTCGATTTCGAGATCATTTGAAAACTTTCCTGGAAGTGTGACTGAAGGTGCGCTTTGAAAAATAACTGCGGCCTATATTTATAGGGAGTGATAAAATAAAAAGACTTGTTGCGATAATTTGTAATTGGTATTTGAGATGCAGTAAACACTTTTATTTCCAACATAACAACATAAATATGTATTTAATACTCAATAGTTAACGAGTTTCACAGTGCTTGCATTCAAGGAATAAAGTAGGTACAATGAAGGGATCTGAAGAAAAATAATTTTAAAATATTGTCTGCACTTGCCCGTCAGTCTTGCATCATTAGTTTATGTATGGACTAGTGACTCTCATAAACATACCTTAAACGCCGTCCAATGAACTCGAGAATGCTCAGCCAGTTAAAATGCCATGTTTTTCTCCGACGATGAGGTCTTGATTTTCTAGGCGGCTGAGGAGACCTGGAAATTAAGCGAGCTTTTTCAGACCTTTCCATTTTCGAAGCTCGCGTGGTTCGCTCTCAAACATTTACAGTTCTTATTTTTCAGGCTTCTTTCACTCCCGAATAAAAAACAAAGAGATGTCAGGAAGACAAAATTTTTAAAAATATCACATTTTCGAACACAGTTACCACTATATGCAAGAATCAAGAACAAGAACCAGAAAAAAGAATCATTTAGTTTATGTCTTTGCACTAACACGCCACGACAATTCCGGCCTCAAATCAAGTTATCAAAAATTTGCCCAGTGATATGAAGAGTGACACTTCACGGCTATATCTGATTTTTTTAAAAAAATAAACACGTGCAAGCGGAATTAATAAAGGTTCCGAAATTTACCTCGAGAAACAACTGCAAAACAGAGACCATTTTATCGTATTTTGCACTCTCTTCTATGTGGTTTTAATAGCAAACCAGCTCTTAGACAAACAGACAGCCGGATATAGATACCTCGTTATCAAAGCGTTCACTTTCCGGAAAAGTCTACTTTCACTCCAGACACTAGTGTGGTTGCTCGAGTTAAGAAAATATTAGCTCACCTGATATGCAGCTTGCAACTTGCTCACTCAAAATACCGTTATCAAAATAGTCGAAATCGTTGCCACGTGAGGATCAGTTGTAAGTTACTGCTCACACCAATTCAAAATATAATATCGCGACTAAAAATTTTGAAGAGAATCGATGTGTATTTACTCATTAAATGAGGAAACTCGGCAATGGCTAAGGTGATTATATGAAAGTGAAAGGTTCAAAGTTGAATGGGTTATGAAGAAAGGGGCTTGCTTTGATCTGTCATCTATTATCGCTCTCTATTTTAAATAATTACGCATATTTAATTTGGCATTTTATCTCAGGGAATTAAATATGTCTATAGATGTAACTATGCTTTTTTCCCAATAATTGGCACAAAGAAGAGCATGAACAAATCTAATTTATCATCTTACCAGGTGCATGGAAAATACTTTTAATTCATAAAACATTGACCAATATTTGCTCACACTAAAAAAAGAGCCTAAAAGCAAGCTGTTCCTTGCTTAATATGAGTAGTTTTTAATTCAAGCATCTTTTCTTTTAGTGTGAAAATTGTCTTCTTGATTCAATAAGAAATCTTCTTTACAGCGAAAAGAAGATTTCTGCTCCGCACTGAGCAAAAAAGTTCGGTCATATGAACTGTGGGTACGCTGCTGCATGTATGTCGACTGTGTTGCTCGGTTTATGTGACCGCACTCCCGACTCTAGGAACCGGTATCCTCGGTTCAAGCAACCGGTATCCTCGGTTCAAGCAACCGGTACATTTACACCAAACTCAACTATAGAGAAAGCTCGGTTGCATGAACTGATGATATGATTTGTAGAACTGAGAGTGGGGTCACGTGAACCAAATAGCACGACTTCCAATACCTTCACTTACCTTACTTACTACATGCACGAGAAAGAAGTTGGGTAACATTTACTATACTATACTCTGGTTAAAAAACGGCACAACAGAACAGTATGGTAACTTCCAGCGAAACTCTTGTCAGAATAAGGAAAAATCTTGTTACTTTCACCATAATTTTGATGAAAGCTACCATATTCTTTGGTTGTGCCGTTTATTAACCAGACTATGATAAATGCTACCTAATTTTATTTTCTGTGACCTTCTTTAGCGGTTCATAATGACCGATCTTTTTGCTTCAGCGCAGTGTGGGTATTTGAAAAAATGACTAATTTTAGTATTTTGAGGGGCAGAATTTTTAAGTATTTGTTTCTATGTCACAGGAGTGTCCGGAATGTCACAAGTCATTGACGCCGGGCGATGTGGGAGTCTTAGCAATAAAGATGGGGGACGATCGGCTGTGGCACCCCAACTGCTTCATTTGCCACCGCTGCCAGGCCCCCCTCGTAGATCTGGCTTACTGCGTTCACGATGATCACCTCTACTGCGAACGACACTATGCCGAGCAGCTGAAACCCCGCTGCGCTGCTTGTGATGAGGTCAGTGTCAGCTGTTTTGCACGAGAAAAAAAAAAAAAANAAAAAAAAAAAAAAAAAAAAAAAAAAAAAAAAAAAAAAAAGACCTTGTTTGGCAGAAATGCAAGGACCAAATCGCATTTTTGAAACAAATGTGTTGAGAGTAGTTTTGAATCTGTCGAATCAATTTTTCCAAAATTTTGCTAAAATTTAAAGTCGACAAAAAAAAATCAAGGTAAAAATGTTCAACCTTTGTCCTTGAAATCGTGGCTAACGGAGATGTAAACCATGTCGCGGCGTGATGCCTTGATGCCATAATGGGTATAATTGGATGCTTAAAATCATTTTTTTCTGCATTTTTTGAAGTATAAGGCATTCATTAATGCAGTAAAACAATGAAAATCATACACGAGAAAAGATTTTCAACAATCAGTAAGATTTTTTTTTATCATTACATTTTAACGGTTTTCTTGCATTTCTCTCCGGGCAAACCTGCTTATAAGTGACTCCGAAAAAAGTGCCCGCGGACGTAAAACACATTTGAGAATGTTTGGTATTGGCAACGCGAACAGTGCATCAAGAAAAGATTCTGTGTTAGTAGATGTTGAACTTTTTTGCACGCTCAATGATATTTTCGTGCAACTTTGCCCTCAAAACGTCATTCCGTTGCCTGTATTCTAAGAGTGGATCAGGCCATAATCAGTCGTAGATATTAGGCTTATTTGCGAATGTAACTCCTTACAGTAAAAAGATTCCACTATTCCTGTGTCCAAGTCGGGGGTAGTATATCCGCGTAATTGAAGGCGCTTCGCACTTCACCAGAGTGTAGTGACAAATGGACACAAAACTTCTTTTCTTGAAAACCTCTGTGATTTTTCTTCTCCTTTTGAAAAATATTTTCTGAAATCTCAAGGCATAATGTTAGGACCGGTCCCATATTGAATAGTAGAGTATGATTGGAGATTTGGAAATCAAAATGCAGTTTCGTCCTTTATAGTTTTTTCATAATGAGGCGAAAATAGTCAGTCGTTCCTTGCTCCGAAATATGTTTCATGAAAAAGTCAATTTGAAAAGTGAGAATCTGCATTTACTCCTCGTTGAAAAATAAATAGATTTACGAAAAAGCGATTATCTTATGAATATAAATTTTTTGGTTTTGTTTTTTTTAAATATTCGGGGGGAATTTTTAACTTCAATGTAGAACGCCTCGTGAGAAGATTTGAGGAGCTTGGAGGACAAGGCGTATAAGAGCAGTTTTTGAAATAATTGAGATGTCAATGATTGCAAGTGAAACTTGTTTTAAGGCACATTCAGTGAAAAATTTGCTCTCAAATTCCAATTTTTAAGCATCAAAATGTCAGTTTGAACTTTCTTTCTGCCATAAGCATTAATGAAATTTCGAAACTTCAAACACGTATTTCTCGAAATAGCAAAAACTGCACTTATACGCCTTGTCCTCCAAGCCCCACATTTTTACATTAAGTTTTTAAACTTGGGTTCAGTAATCTCGTCTGTCCGAGAAAAATTGTGTATGAAAGGTTGGCCGTTTAAGATGATTATTGCTCTCTATTTTGCGTACTCGCAGAAAATCAAACTGTTAAACACAAACCGAAACTCTAAAAAAATCTCAGAAAAATATTACACGAATAGGCGGTAGACTTTAAACATTGGCCTACAGTCTGAAAAGAAGTAGACTTTTCGTTTAGTTTCACTTGATTATTTTGTAAAAGGTTATTAAAATCTGTTTGACGCAGGGTTATTGAACAATTTAACATTTTTATCAATTTACTCATCCACTTTTGTGTCACATACTCACATATTGTGAAAATATGACCGTTTTCTCCTAGGAATATTAAATCTAACGCTGATATTCGCCAGCTTTGCTCTCTTTCCGTGAATTTTTGCATTGGGTAAGATTTATTGTAGTCAAAGTAATCAAAATTTGCTTAAAATCAGCTGAGATTTGAGAAAAATCATGAATGAGTTTATGTATGACAAAATATCAGTAATATGGAAGAATTCCGTGGCTTTACAGTATTGAATTCGAGCGGATCGAAGAACGCCTTCAACCTTTTGAGTATACTATTGCTGACACACAGATGCTCATACTTGTATTATTTGCGCTGCAGGCTGAAGCGAAAGTTGTTCAGCGAGTTTGTTGATCGGATCGATATTATACTGATAATTTAACATAGTGAAAATCAGGAAGACAAAGTACTCTATTTTGATGAAAGAAAATGGCGGGTTTCAATTCTCAATGAAGTTCAGGACTGCTTTTCAACTTAAATGCAATCCTGTTAATTGCCACTAAAGTTGCACCTTGAGTTCAATGAGAGGAATGACTTCTGTTTTTTTTTTTTTTCGAATCTCTGACCTCTTATTCCCTGGTGCAACTGACCGTATTAACACGATTATCATATTGTTGTGACTCCAATGACTCCAAAACGTCGAACATTTGACGAAGGAATCACGTGCACCCTACCGCATACGGAAGCCCTCCAAGTGACCGGCAAAGACTTACTCAGACAACAACAATGTGATGTTTCGATTGATCGATTACAGTCGCTGATTCGAGGAAGTTAGATGCAAGAGGTCTCATTTTCATGAGATACTTACAACCAATACGCCTAGTTCCAAAATACCGCATTATCAGAACTATTAGAGAATCTGGGGTATCTTGTTAGGTAAAATAACTACCAAAATAAGGTTACATACTAACCCCGATTCTTCTGCACCTTCAAAATTCATCCAGACTTTTGAAAAGAGTGACTAAAAAATTTACCTAAAGTTTGCCAACATTTCTGAGGTCCCTAAATGTTGAATTACAGTAAGACACATTCTCTAAAAACTGCAACTATTTTAACCCTTGAGAAACGAGTAAAACTTATGAGAGGGATATTTCTTCAGTCAAATCACTAGTATCTGTCAATTTAACTACGGCTCGCAGCGTCACGGAGCAAAACTTCTTCCAGTTTACGTCATTTGAGTGCTGTTTTGACTAAATTTCAATTTAGAAGTAGATTTCTAAAAAATACCCAAATTATTAATAACCTCTATGAAAGTACTGAATTAATTAGCATTAAAAAGTATTAATTGTCAATTTTTTTGAGAATTGGAACTGAGAAGCAAGTTATTTCTTTCCGGGAGGGGGGGGGGAGGTTGAGTGTAAAATTTTAAGCTAGGCCACGAAAATAAACCGTTCCCAATGAAAAGTTAGTACTTAGATTGTTGCAAATAGGTATAGGTCGTGGAATGAAGCCCTCGGATCGACATGTCCTGTCGAGAATCGATGAAAGCTAGTCACTCCGCCGCGCCGGCCTACTCTACCTCGAGCATTGTCCGATTATGATTCTCATAGTTTACTTTTCTCCGGCTAGCAGCTCAACGAAACTCGAACTCAATTATTCGTGCTCAAATCTTCGTGTTCAACTACTCGTGTTCAGCCTTCGTGTTCCGTGCAAAATGGTTTTCAATATCATGGTGCTTTTTATTATGTTCCTCCAAACAACGCTTTTCCGACTGTGACTATAGGCACAACGATTTCTGTGATCTCCAATTTTTTTTGGGCAAAATTTTGACCCTGTAAAGAAGCCTTGGGCATATTGGGTGTAAATTTTGAAATTATCCGATAATTTTTTTTTACCGAATGACGTTTATTGGCTATTTGCGAAGTTCATCGGCTATTTGCGCGGTGGATTTCGTATATGTATCAATCTAAGATAACAGTGGTGTCATTTTACGGGACATACAAGTCATTAAACAACCTTAATTTTATACGCTTTTTTGTGCAAAATGTGCCCCTCAATCTGATAACGATTTGGAAGCTCTTTTGTGCTTGCCTGTCAAACAGCACACTCCAAGAAAAATTGAAAATTCCTCTCCCTGGGTCGGGGGAAATATTTTTAAAAATATAAGATCAGGCAATATGACTTTTCAACGTCTCATTTTGACACTAATTTGTGAAACGACGAAGTAAGCTTGCTTTTTCTCTAACATTTTAAGCAGGATGCGTGACAAAATTAGTTAATAACTCTAAAGGAGGAATGTGTGCATTTTTTAAAAACAATTTCAAGACCATCACGATTTGCTTTTCCTTCAATAAAATGCATCTTGGGTGGATTTTTTCAAAATGAAACAGGTAAGAAACGCCTAAAATCATTGCATAATTAATAAATTCTTCCAACAAATAAATTAGCTAAAATTAAATGTAATACCAATAAAAGGTCTTAACATTTTTACGATTGAGTTGTATTGTCTAGGTTTCTCTAACTTTTCTGAGTAAATCATAATTGGATTGCATTTAGCAAAAAGGAACCAGAAGCATTGAAATGTTGCCAAGATTGTGCAACTTTATATTTTGCATTACAATTCCTGAAATCATGAAAAATATGAAATTTACACGGTGATTTTTGCCCTAAATTTGCAGTTTTTAGCGAGTAAAATAGAATCTGTTAATGGATAATCAGATTATTCCTCCAAGACAAGAGAAGTTGCACAATGTTAGCAACATTACAATGCTCCTGGTTCTATTCTTCAAAATGCAATCCAATTATTCTCTATTCATTGCTTTGGGTGTAAAACGCCCGAAGAGAAACGATTTTTTCCAGCAAAGACTTTCTTATCATAGTTTTGTCACAGTAAAGCTGTAGTTGGAAAAAAATAGTTTTGATGAGTTTACACAACGGTTTTATTTATTACTTTATTTTTTTAAAGTGCCAGACCTTAGAATTTAGTTGTGTCGGAATTTTAGACTTTGTGCAACACTCTCTCTTATAGCAGGTGGGTATAACCAAAGAAACAAAATATCCTCCGGCTCCATTATGTCACGTCTCTCGCAATGGGGTTTCACGCACGAAAATAGTTCACTTAAAAATATCAAAGCAAACTTAACATCCTAATCTCTACCAACTCATGATTAATTAATTTACTCGTAAACGCGCATATATTTTACCAAACATTCCTCATTTTCTCTCTCATTTTTAAATTCTCATCACATTACGTCATGCCCATGCAATGACATCGGG